AGGTTTCAAACCTTGGCCCTTCTTATTCTTTGGCTAAACCTTTTATCCCCTCATGTGTAGGAATGTGTCCCCTGTTGACAGAGTGACTAAATTATCCTTTGTCTCCTTAAAAAGGAAAAAAAGCCCAGAAGTTTCTCTCCTCAATTTAGTAAAATGACACCTCATAGGACCTTGGGGACTTCACTTAAGGATATCCAATTGCACATAGGCCAAAAGGTCCTGCCTGAGCAATTCACTAGAAAAAGAAGAAAACAAAAGGAACTAATCACTTTTGTGGGGTGTTTTAGCAGGAGCAAGAACCTCTTACCCCTGGCTCAGGTTTTCTCTGTAAAGAGTTTTGTGTGAAAAACACCAATCACTTGTTTTTGAAATGTTAAAAGTTTAATAGTAATAAAATGGTTAGAAAAATAGTAATATAATTAGAGTAATAATAATTTGGACAATTAGGATTTAGGACAATATGACACAATAAAAACAAAGAGTTATGGACAGTCCAGGTACCTCTTTCTGGGCAAAATAAGCCTGAAAAAGGACCCACGTTAACAGAGGATTAACCCTTACAAGCAACAGCCTATTGCATATTCATACACCTCATACATGGTGCATAAATTCCATTCAAACACAGGATTCTGACTGGTCAGTGTCGGCTTCTTCCTCTGAATCCTGAGGCGTCTTCAGTGCTGAGTGAGGCAGGAAGAAGTTCGTTTCTTCTGATAATAGAGAAATAAATTCTCTTTCCCTGAAAGATTTAGGTGTCCTGTGGCTGCTATCTCAGTGTACCTCATTTCTTTCTTTAAAAAAATATCCTACATACATAGTTTCTAATTTAAACCTTATGTTATAACCTGAAACTCTATTTAACACACTACTTAAGAAAATTAATACAGCATAACTTTCTAACATAACATATAATATCCATTTGAATATTTGCAAAAAGCCAATCATAAAATACACATTTTTCACATTGGTTATTTTGCCTTTTATTCAAAATTTCTATTTCCAACACTACCACAGAAGTACCACTGAAAAACAAAAGCTAAAACCAGAGTCATCACCCCCCCACACACTTTATAATGCATTTCTGCCCTCCTTTTCCTGCCCACTCTATTCATAGCTCAATCCTTCCTGCTGTGCCCAAAACAACTCCCCAGGCGCAGGCTGTGGTGAGTTTTCATTCCACTTTGCCTTGTGGTCTAACGTCTGCTGTTCTTTTCCACAGCCTCTCCCCTGCCTGCCACGTGCCTCCCCCAGGCCCTTGGTGCTGCACTTTCCAGAGGAAGTGGTTTTTGTGGTGGGCTGCAGGCGGGCACCAGTGGTGACCCAGATCTCGATTGTGGCGTCATGGAACTCGTGCTGTGGCCTCTTCCTGCCCCAGCTGGGCCACCCTGTGAAAAATGGGTGGTTTGTGATTGGCTCGTTGCAAATATTCGATTTTTTTCAAATATTTTTTCAAGCTTTGCAAATATTTTGCAAATGTTCTGTTATGTCAAAAAGTTATGCTCCGTTAATTTTTTTTGGTAGTGTGTTAAATAGAGTTTAGGTTACAACATAATGTTAAAATAGAAACTATGTACGTGGGATATTTTTTTAAAGAAAGAAATGAGGTACTTGCACCAGATAGCAGCCACAGGACACCTGAATCTTTCAGAGAAAAGGAATTGATTGCTCCATTATCAGAAGAAACGAACTTCCCACCTTCCTCAGCCATGAAGACACCTTAGGATTCAGAGGAAGAAGCTGACACTGCCCAGACAGAATCCTGTGTTTGAATGGAATTTATGCATCATGGATGAGGTGTATGAATATGCAACAGGCTGTTGCTTTTAAGGGTTAATCCTTTGTTAATGTGGGTCCCTTTTTAGGCTTATTTTGCCCAGAAAGAGGTACCCAGACTGTCCATAACTCTTTGTTTTTATTGTATCATATTGTCCTAATCCAAATTGTCCAAATTTTTATTACTCTAAATATATTAGTATTTTTCTAACCATTTTATTACAATTAAACTTTTAACATTTCAAAAACAAGAGATTGGTGTTTTTCACACACATCCTGTCCTGCTGGGTTATTTCCTTTGCTTTGCTTTGCTCTGTGGTTTTTGTAGCTTGAAATAAACAAGAAAATGAAGGGAAGGGGGGGCACGTTGTGGTGGTGGGAGATTGGCAGCTTGATATCTGCAAGTGGCTTTTGTGAAAAACACCAATCACTTGGTTTTAAAATTGTAAAATTTAATAGTAATAAAATAAATTCTTTTTCTCTGAAAGATTTAGGTGTCCTGTAGCTGCTATCTCGGTGTGAGTCCTCTCTTTAAATAAAGTATCTTACATAGCATAGTGGTGTCTCTTTAAATAAAGTTTCTTACATATTTTAACATTTTGTTATAACTTAAAACTATATTTAGCACACTACTTAAGAAAATTAATACAGCATTACTTTCTAACATAAAGCAAATATTATATTCATTTTAATATTTGCCAAAAGCCAATAATAAAATATGCATTTTTCTCAGCTTTGAAGCAGACCTTGCAAATCCAGGGCTTTGCAGGTCACATGCCTGAAGTCATTTTAGTCAAAATATTTAATTCATCTCCCACTTGGCAAATCCTGTCCCTGGGATCAGTTTAACCTGGAAGAGGAAAACCTCAGGTGTGGAAACAGAAGCAGCACAGTCCTTAAGTCTTGCCCTTTCATTTGGGAGTGAGTTGATGTGCAACATAAAAAATTTACTGTGGTGATTAATTTTAAAAAGTGATGCTAAAGGTAAGTGAGTATGGAAAGTTTTCTTTCACATCCCTGAAATTTTCTGGGATGAGGTGAATTGGTTGGAAATCCGTGAAATACAATGAGTTATGACTTGTTATATAATTCAAATATGGTCTGGGCAGCTGGGCAAACACAAATCCTCCCTGTCTGTGTCCCACAGCCCCGACTGCTCTGGATGATCTGAAAGTGCAGAGGAGCAGGAATGGGGAAGAGGTTTCACAGTGACTTCTGTGAGCCAGAGAGGAGTTTGAGGAGAGGATCCATGTTTACCCCTGAAAGAATTTCCTACCAAGGTTGCTGACACAGAAACCAAGAAAGAAAGAAGGAGAAATAAGAGAAAATTCAACTGCCTGTTCCAATGAGCACTTGGTTTGCCTCTGGTGACCAATGAGTAAAGTGTAAACTTATGAGCTTTGTAAGAATGTATAAAACCATGCAGTCTATAATAAAATCAGTTTGAAGCCTTCTGAAAATGGAGTGTGGCTTTGTGTTGTCTCTGTCTCAAGTATGACACCTTAGGATTTTAGCTTTTGTATTTTTCACTGATTTGTAATCCTGCAGTTCTTTAGTGTAGAACTCTAAACTCCATCATCCAGTGTGAGCTGCTGCTTTCCCATTCTGGTCAGACACAACAATTGGGAATCAAGGACACCTCACTGCCTCAGGCCATGAGAGATGTGAACAAAAGTGAGTTGGGGGAGAAAACTGGGGCTAAATGACTTCATTAGCTGAAGCTGTAATTGGAAGATTAACCCCCAATATGCAAATGGACCAAACTTATAAAAGTGTGAAAACCTGTGACCCGTGGTCCATTTTTGGGTGTAGCACCTGGGGGGACTTTCTCTGCCCAAAATGTACCTGAAGGCCCTTCAATAAATAGAACCACTTTTAATTCCCTTGATTTTGTCTGGCCTCTGTGTTTAGGTAGCCCCAAAAGGCATCAGAAGATGTTGCAGAAATTGATGTCACAAAAGGAGAACATTTCCCCTCCAGCTTTGCCAGAGACAGACAGAACCTGGAGGCAAAGGGGGCCCATTGGTGTCACCACTGCAAAGCAGGTGCCCCCAGAGTGGGGGACAGCACACGGGATCCCCTCAGGGCCCTGTGCACCCCACAGCAGCACCAAACTGGACCTGGGACCAGCTCCCTGAGTGCCACCATGGTATTTTTGGAAAAATCCTTTGCCAGGATCTTTTCCTCCTGAGAAGCTGAGAGGCCTCAGGAACAAAATGTAAACAATAATTATCTGTATATATTATAATATATTATATATATAATATATATATATATAATATATAATATCTATATCTCTCTATATCTCTCTATATATATCTATATATGTAATATATATAATATATAATATATACTATATATCAATATATTATATAATATATAATATATAGATATAGATATAATATATATCTATAATTATCTGCTGTGGAATGCAACAGGTGCATCTGGGATTGGGCTCATGTGGTTGTTTCTAATTAATGGCCAATCAAAGTCCAGCTGTCTCAGACTCTCTGGTCAGTCACAAGATTTTATTATCATTCCATTCTTTTCTATTCCTTGCTAGCATTCTGATGAAATCCTTTCTTCTATTCTTTTAGTATCGTTTTAGTATATAATTTTATTTTAATATAAAATATATATCATAAAATAATAAATCAGCCTTCTGAAACATTGAGTCAAGATTCTCATCTCTTCCCTCGTTCTGGGACCCCTGTGAACACCACCACACCCTGAGTGTGACCAAACCATGATTTTGTTGTCTCCACCCCAAAGCATCTTTGATTGGGCTCATGTGGTTGTTTTTAATTAATGGCCAGTCCCAGTCCAGCTGTCTCAGACTCTCTGGTCAGTCACAAGATTTTATCATCATTCCATTCCATTCCATTCCATTCCATTCCATTCCATTCCATTCCATTCCATTCCATTCCATCCCATCCCATCCCAGCCTTCTGATGAAATCCTTTCTCCTGTTCTTTCAGTGTGACCCTGAGTGGGACCAAGCCATGATTTTGTTGTCTCCAACCAGCCCAACCTCCCCTTGGGGCAGAGGGGCTCCCCCTTCTCTCTCCCCACAGCACAGATGTCCTACCTAAGGACTTTATTCACTTTATTCCCACCCTCCATGCTGGATCCAATCCCTTCCCTCCCGCCCCAAAAAAGCTCAGCTGGAAGGGTGAAGCAATGCCTCAAACAGCAAATAAAAAAGACCAACAAGTTCTCATTTTTTAATAAGAATTGTTTGATAACAGCCTCAAGAAATGCCAAGACATCTGATGGGTGCCAGGACAGTTGATGGATTAGCAGCATGCAGATGCCACAGGCAAGCACAGTTCCAAGGTGGGCACACATGGACAGGGAAATATTTCAGTACATTTTTATGCAATTGTTACAAAAAGAGCTTGGGAGACCTCAGGTTGTTAGAAGTAAACAAAAAGAACAAAAGTGGTTTGTACTTTTACTAAACACAAAGCATCTTAAACTGGTTTAAATTAAGATGTTATGGTCAGATAGACTTTAAAAAATAATAAAGAAAGGTCTTTTTTTTTTCTGTGATATTGAAGTGACAATTTCACTGAATTTGGGACTTCTGGGAAACCTGCAGCTCATCCTTTAGGGAAAAAATGGGATATTTTGCTCTGATCTAGCAAAGGGTGGCAGGACAGTGCATCCTGAGTCAGCCTCCCTTCGCTTTTCAAAGGGTTTCTTTTGCACCTGGAAAGGTTTCTGGGGGTGCACCCTGAGTATGAATACCCTAAAGCTACCAAAATAGGAAAAATTCCCATTCAGGTGATATTTAGCTTGCAGTTTTTAACACACAGCACTGCTCCAGGCAGAAGCTGTCATTTTAATGGCAATGTAAAATTATAGCAAAGTGTGCTTCATGCAAAGGAGGCACTTGATGGTGAATGACCCAGACATCTAAAGGGCAGAACGCTGGAAATGTTTCATTTTGAGCACTTTTATAGCAATGCAAATGAAGCAATTTAGAATCAGATGGCTGGTGTGATGTGTAAGAGCAGCAGGGGGGTGTCCCTTGCACAAGGAATTTCCCTGGGCTCCCTCTTGCTCCCGATGCTCTCTCAAAGCTGATGGGTTTGGCACTTCAGGACTGCCCCAGCTGGTTCCCCTCAGTCCTGTAACAAAAACAAAGGTTTGTTAAATCATTATTTAGCTGACAGCTGCACAACTGCAGAGCTGAAGTGTCCAGGCAAGAGTAAAACAGACGCTGGGAAAAGCTGATATAGTAGAATTTATATTAAAGTCAATAATCATTGAGCTGTCCCAGCTGGAGGCAGGTGAGGGGAGAAATCTGATGGGTGAATGCAGGCAAGGGAAGGGATGGATGCACCAACAGAAGGGAGAAATGTCTTGAAAGGGAAAATATTTTCTTATGGACCAGGAACAGCACTTGAGGGGGGGTGAAAATGGTGTGGCCAAAGGAAGGGAGGGATTTTACTGCTGGCAGACAAAAGAAGTCTGGATAGCCTGCAAAAATAGCTGTTCCAGAGGGAAGGAGCATTCACAGCTGAAGAACCAATCCAGATGTTTTCTGACCTCCCCCTCCAAGCATCCTCACCTTTTTTTTCTTCCACACAAGCACTGTCATCAGCACGTTAAAAATGATTCCTTTCATTAAAACGATTTTGAGGCCCAGCTGTGACAGAGACATGGTGTTCAAGTGCTCATCTGGAAAAAAAAAACAGAAAATGAGAGTTGAAAGAGCACTGAGACATCCTCATGTCCCACATTTTAAGTCCTTTTGAGAGGACTTAAAAGCTCTTTTTAACCAAGTTGTTCCATTGTGTCATGGAGTCAGCTGGTAGGGCAGGAAATGAGAGAGGGAGGAGGACTCAGAAACTTTAATTTCTTCCGTTCAATAACCACTTAATTATCCAATAAGCCACTCTGGTTTTAAATACTGTGCACTGTGAACCCAGGATGCTGGGGCAGCCCTCCTTCCCCCTGCTAAATTTTTTTGAAGATGGGCAGGGGGAAAACAATTCAGATTTTAATCATACAACACAATCTTATTTGAATTTTATATTAATCTGAAGTTACAAAACCATTAGTATTTGAAAATAATATAAATCTATATTATATATGATAGAAAAATATATATTGTATAAATATACATGATATAATATATACATATATAATTATATAATAAAGATATTATTTATATAAGAATATAAAAGAAATATATTCTATTTCTTTTATATATTTATTTTAAATATATATATTTATATATATTCTTCATTAGAAACTCTATTTTATATATTCTCCATTAGAAACCCATTCTTTTATATATTCTTCATTAGAAACCCTTTCTTTTATATATTCTCCATTAGAAACCCATTCTTTTATATATTCTCCATTAGAAACCCTTTCTTTTATATATTCTCCATTAGAAACCCTTTCATATATTCTTCATTAGAAACCCTTTCTTTCATATATTCTCCATTAGAAACCCTTTCTTTCATATATTCTCCATTAGAAACCCTTTCTTTTATGTATTCTCCATTAGAAACCCTTTCTTTTATATCTTCTTTATTAGAAACCCATTCTTTTGTACATTTTTCATTAGAAATCCATTCTTTTACACACCATTCTGATACAGGTGGACCTGATTGGTCATTTAATCAACACCCTTGGCTAACTAAGACGACAGCCTTTGGAAAACATCTTATAAGAAATCAACTGTTCCATACACCAGCTGCAAGATTGTTTCAATTCTTTCTCTCAGCCTTCTCAAAACTCCCCAGAACAATTCCTGGGAAAGCTGATCTGTTTTTTCTCTCTCTGGGACTGAACTGTGAGCATCCCCAGAGCCCTCAGCACCCCTGAGCACAGAAACCACCTGCGAGCTGCTGTTCCACGAGGTGTTTGTGCACCCAAAATCACCCAGCTCCTCTGAGAGCTGAAATGCAGCGGTGCTGACTCAGAGCAGAACCTGGAGCCACTCTGGGGTGGGCAGCAGAATGATGTTTTTCTCAAGATTTTAAACCTTTAGCAGCAGCAGCAGCTCTGTGGTGAGTCAGAGCAAGAGCATGACTACACTGCATAAAATTATCAGCTTGGATCAGCAAGGCTGCACGAACACCACAACTTTCAGCCTTGATGTTTAAAACCTGTGGGGGCCCTTTTGGGGAAATTTTCTGTCTTTTTGCTGCTTCAGAAAGAATTCTGCAAGCAGGGAAAACCAGCAAAAACTTGGGAAGATGAGAGAGAGAGAGAGAAGTCTGGTCAGAGAGAGAGAAAGCCAGATTCTATTCTATTCTATTCTATTCTATTCTATTCTATTCTATTCTATTCTATTCTATTCTTATATATAAATATATTTAAAATTATATTATATATACAGATACTTAAAATATATTATATTATTATATTTATTATATTACATTATATTATATTATCTATATTTTTATATATATATAAAATGTATATAATATATTATATTATGTATATAATAATTTCCCATGAACTGGCCTGGGAAGCTTTAGGGAGCTGGGGAAAAGCAGTGATAGTCAGATATGAAACAATCTGCAGGTGGTGATTTTTAACAATCCGTTTTGCTGTTATCCTCGTAAGGTTGTTTACAAATGGGTGTCTTGTTAACTAGCCAATCATGTGAAATGTATTTATTGGTTTCTCTGGGTCTGGATTGAAGGCACTTGAGATGGTATTTAATGTTCAAACTCAAGTGTTTATTATTTCTTATCAGTAAAACAGTCTCACTTCTGTGAGCTCGGCAGCTTTTCATTAGAAGGCACAAAATGGCCAACAATCTCTTGTGACAAGGTCTTTTAAGACTAAACTATCCAATTAAGAACTGACACCTCGATTATTTTCCCTTTTTACCCAATAACTGATCCCAATGTGGACTTTTCTGCCCAATTACAAAATGCCACCCAAACCCATGAAGAAGAAGGAAGAAGCAGCATGAAGAAGAAACCCAGGACAACACCCTGTGCCCTCCATCTTGCTGCCATCCACAACACACTAAAAATCCTAAAAACCTCAATTTCTCACCAAGTGATGCACCCACACTGCTCTCTATAATCTATTCCACACTTTTGTGGATTCCCAGTCCATGCTGATGTTCAGGAAACTTTCTCCATGCATGAGGGTCAGAGTCAGTGCTGCCCTGGGGCAGCCCAGAGCAGACACAGAAATATTCCCTGGATGCCCTGGGTTTGCACACTGTTGATTAATGACCAATCAGTTCCACCTGTAGCTAACTAAGCTATAAAAGGGGAGAGGAGAAAATAAATGGGATTTTGCCTTTTGATACAACTCTGTGTCATCTCTGACTCAACGGTGACAGAAAGGCATTTACTTTAGTCAGGGTGAACTTTTCTCCTAAAATGCTGTGTTACATACCTGTCCTGAAGTGGAGGGACAGCCCTGTGACACAGACAGCACTGGCACCTGCAGAGAGGGACAATAAATTTGATTAATAACAAAAATGTACTTCTTCAGAGGTCTATGATGATAGCTCTGCTTAGAAGGACTAAATTAGGATTTCTGGCCAACAAACCCTCCCATAAACACTCTTTTCTCTTTTTTTTCAGGGCAAGCATAAAATATGATCTCATTAAACTTCAATGTCCCTTTGGACAAAGGGATTTCAAGCTTTCTATCCCCCCACAGTGTGTTCTGCTATGACTGTACCAGTCTGCTGATCCTTAATCCTGTTTCCACCAAGGAGGAAGGAGAAACAATAAAAAAAGGAGAGATAATAAACAAAGGAGAGACAATAAACAAAACCATCAAAAAAGCTTTTTCTGTTCACGAGAGAGGGGGAAATGTGGGAAATGGATTTGTAGGGAATTCTCCAAGCCTGGCAGAAGGCTCACACAGTGGGAATCTGTGTGCAAACCTGGAGATGAGAAATGCTGAGTGGGAAATGCCATGGGACAGGACAGACATTGCTGAGAGAGAAATGGAACTGGAAACAAGTTTCAAAGGATGATTTTATAAATAAGATTAGATACTTTGGAGAAATAGAACTATGAAAAATGCATTGTAGTGGGACCCATGAGGGGTAATTTTAGATGATTGGATTTAAGGCATTTACAGCATGGTGTGGCAAAAACCTGATTCCCCAAGAAATGCTTATCATGTTTCCCTTTTCCAGGCTGAAAAATCCCAATTCAGCCTTGAGAGATTAAGTAATACTTCAGTTTCTTGGGAGAAGGAACTATTGCTTGCCAGAGGCTTACAGTGCGGGAAATGAATTTATAGAAAATTCTCCAAACAAGTTTCAAAAGGTGGCCTTACAAAAAAGACTGGACACTTTACAGAAATAGAACTATGAAAGATATATTGTAGTAGGAACCACGAGGGGTAATTTGAGATTATTTGCTTTAAGGCATTTAAGCAAATAATCTAAAATTACCCTTTGTGGGTCTTACTACAAAGAGTGTGGTGTGGCAAAAGCTGATAGGCCAAGAAACACTTATAATGAACTATAATTAGGAAATAATTAGCTTCTGATTGTCATAATGTGAATTATAACATCTGTATTGTCTCACCCTTCACATGAGACTGAAAATAGAATAAAAGCTTTTAAAACACCTCTCAGTTGCCCCATCTCTGGGTCAGAAAATGGATTAATCTGGCAAGGAAAGAGGCAACAAAGCAGCATTCCCCTGTCCTGTGGGAGCACAGAGCAGCTCAACGCTGCTGACAGCCCCAGAAATGCCCTCACCACTCTCAGGGTCCTCTCCCTCCAGCTCTCCAAAGCCCTCGTGGCTGGCAGCACAGTGCAGCTGATCCCTCGTGGCCCAGTAGGTGCACAGGTAGCTGGACTCCTCACTGTCCCCATCAGTGGCCACCCCCACCACTGCAGATGTCTGCTGCTCAGCTGAGCTCAGAGTGAGCTTCTCAGGGGAGTAATCTGTGATGAGGCACATTTCCAGACCCTGGGCATCTTTGGAGGTCAGCCTGTAGACCGAGGGAGATGGAGTCACTTCTGCAAAGAGGAGAAAAGAAGATTTAGGTCAGATTACACATCCATAGTTCCTACAATCTTACATACAGTCACTTGGAAATGCAGGATTCTCCATTATTCCAGTGGGAAGCTGCCTGATCATTGGGATTTGGTGCCAGGACATCTTTAGAGAGCCAAAACATCTACAGCAGATGATGCAGAAGCTGCCTCTGTGTGACCGTGTTCACAGGGGCCTGAGGATGAGGGGAGAGATGAGGATCTGACTCCATGTTTCAGAAGGCTGATTTATTATTTTATGATATATATTATATTAAAACTATACTAAAAGAATAGAAGAAAGGATTTCATCAGAAGGCTGACTAAGAATAGAAAAAGAAAGAATGAATAACAAAAGCTTGTGTCTGGGACAGAGAGTCTGAGCCAGCTGGGCTGTGACTGACCATTAATTAGAAACAACCACATGAGCCCAATCCCAGATGCACCTGTTGCATTCCACAGCAGCAGATAACCATTGGTTACATTTTGTTCCTGAGGCCTCTCAGCTTCTCAGGAGGAAAAATCCTAAGGAAAGGATTTTCCATAAAAGATGCCTGTGACACTTCTATTGTGTGGGAGACACAGAGGCCACAGAGGCCAAACAGAATCCCTGGAACACCTGAAAAGGCTCATGGACATCCACACCTGGATGTCCATACCCAACCCAGCCATTCCTCTTGGGGACAACTCACTGGATTCTGTCACCATGGTGTGTGTGACAGTGGAGAGAGCCCCTGGGCTGGAGATTCTCCATAATTCCAGTGGGAAGCTGCCTGATCACTGGGATCTCGTGCCAGGACACTTTTAGAGAGCCAAAGCATCTACAGCAGATGATGCAGAAGCTGCTTCTGTTGTGTGGGAGACACAGAGAGGCCAGGCAGAATTCCTGGAGCATCTGAAAAGGCCAGGAATGATTTAGGGATGATTTTAGGCCATGATTTAGACTGTCACCAGGCCAGGACTAAATCATGGCCTAAAATCATCCCAGCCTGATTTCTGCTGGGAACTCCCTCACCTCCCCTGCTCCCAGTTGGTTTTTGGAAATTTTTTGACGGTTTGTTAGGGAGAGGAAGGCAGGAGCTTGTAAAAAGTCTGATGATAAATGCCTGTATAAAACACAGATGAGCCAGGGTAGGTCACTGCCATGGGGTACATGGAAATGAAAGAGAAGAGGAGGAATTTGTCAGGCTGCTCTCTTTCTCTCTCATCACCAGTGCTGTGCTTTCTGAAGAGATAAATATCTACCTCACTCCAAATTAGGGTGTTTTTCTCCTTTTCAATCTGTGCAATGCTTTGATCTTGAACACACAAAACAATAAAGTCTTGTTTTTTCACAGGAAGCTTCAGCACTTTTGCAAAATATTAGTTTCCTGAGTTCTTACTCAGAGTGGTGGCTGCCTCTGCTCTGGTGCTGCAGTTCAGTTCCTGTAAGTTCCTTGGTTTGTTTGCCCACTGCTATGAAGGTTTGAGATAATTTTGGTAAAAAAACATTTACTTTAACCACAGCCCTGTGACTTGTTATTCTGGCTTGATGAACTGGTGCCTGTGCTGGAGATGCTGTTTATTTATCACCTCTATTTATCACCTCTATTTATCACCTCTCTTTAGAGGAAAGTGAGAAGTAAATAATGATGCTCTGAGCTTTCCATGCTGCCCAATTTCATCTTTACTGAAGGATAAAGATGGATAAAGGATAAGGATAAAGTCTTCCAGGTGGAAGAGCAGGCTGTGGAAATGACAAAGGTTCTCAGGAGGTTCCTGAGCAGCCACTTGAAGTCTTTTTGTTTTGAAATTGTCACACAGCTGGGTTAATCCATCTCAGAGAGTGGATTAGATAGGCAGAATTGCTCCTTCTGACCCCCAAAATATTTTCTTAACATTGTTGAAAGGAGCAGAAGGGACATCATAGCAATGTCCTCCTGAGGTTTAGAGGTGGGCAATGCCCTTGACAGCTGCCATTCCCCAGATCTTGGTGTGTATTAACAAACTTGAAAATTAGTAAAAAATCAGGGTAAATGTACCTGGCAAAACCAGAAGTGTCGTCCCAGATCCAAATGTGAATTTGTAATTACCCCCAGAGTTACACAATAGCAAAGGCCTCTACAATATCCAGGACAGCATTAAATGGAGCATTCAACAATTAAATGCTCCACCAAAAATCCTGTTTATCTCGGTGAACGCACAGATCCATCTACCTGGGACTTTTCCACCTCCTGACTTTCTTTTCATGTGGTATTTTGCATTTTGCTCTCCCAAACACACTCTCCTTAATAATCCCCTCAATCATATTTGTCCCACTGTTTCCAGAAAGCCACCTGCACCACAACTCCTATTCTCCATCTTATTCCTCATTTATTTATTCTGCCAGTCAGATTCCTCTCTCAAAAATTAATTTATTTACCAGAAAAAAATAAAATTTATTTATTTACATATTTTTGTTTATTTATTTAAATTTATTTATTTGTTTTACTGCACAGATCCCCTAGGGACTGATGGTGCAGTGAAACCTCCATCATCCCATTCTCTTGGATTTGCCATCTGAATTAGTCCAGAGTGATTCCAATAAAGCTGCCATTTAGTTTTTGAGTAAAAAGCTCTTTTTGGTGAGCAATTTCTTTGAGCAATTTCGTTGCTCATTCTGCCACTGAACGCTGAGGTTTCAGGATAAGTTAGGAACGTTCCTCCAGTGGGACTCTGGAGCAGCTGGACACAGATATGGTAAATAATGGTAAATCTATGGTAAATTTACCACAATGGTACATCTGGAGACACCTACATGAACTCAGAGCTCTGATTTATGGCTCCTTTAGCTTGATGATGGCTCCATATAAACTTGAGATTCCCATTTCTCTCAGATGTTTTTGAAGAGGGTCAAGAGGGTCATTTAAAATAAAATTATTTCCCTAATGGGTTTCCAGAAGGAATTCTTTCCCTATGTTGTTGTTTTTTAACTTTCAGAATAAAGTCATGCCATGAGATGATTTTAGAATCACTGCCATTTAAAAAAAAATGGAAACATTACTTTTCAGGTGTAAACTCACTCAATTCAGATATTAAACAATCCTAAATATATTTTAAAGAAATTTGGAAAATTTGGTACATTTACAACAAATATCAATATCTTGGCAAGTGTTAATTTCTTTTCCTTTTACAAAGGGTTTCAAACAAGAGAAGAGGTGTAGGATTTTGGGGGAATTTTTTTTTCATACATTTGTGGCAGCCACAGTCAAAGCACATTTTTCTATCCATCCTTTTTTCTACAGAAAAAATAAATGAGGTAAGGGTCACTTTTCCATCCCTCCACTAAAGCCATTCAGTAATTAACTTTGCTTCTTGCCCTATTTCCCCTCGATCCAAATATTTCTCCCACCCTCAGTTTTAAGGCTGGTCCTGCTGCTCTCCACCAGTTCCACTCACTTCTAATGTGCTCCAAGCTTCATTTGGATGTTGCAGGACAAGGTAAATCAACACAAGCTGGCTGTGACATCAACCTGGCGTCACTCCTGAGCTCCCTACCTCGTGATTATAGAATTATATTCTCTTTATATTCTGTTTATAAACAGAAACCCACCTCCACAGTTACAGCTCAAGGATCTCCACAGCACTGACCCAATATGTGCATTTTTTATGTCCAAATACATTATGAACCTGGTTATCTCCAAATATTTCTACCCACATACAAGAAAATTCTTTTTACCTCCTACAGCTTTATGGAAACAGTTTCACCCCTCTGCATTTTGCTGGTCTGTGCTGGTTTTCACCATTTCACTTCTCCTCTGCTTGAGGAACCCAGTTCCTGTTGAAAAATTCCCAAGACAAATCCTCTTGCACATGTAAAACCTCTGCCATGCTCATTCTCAGGAACAGAGAGGGGAAAATATCCTTGCAGCCATGGAAATCACTTGCTCTGAATACCATCTGAAAATTCATTGTCCTGTTGCTAAAACATTGTGGGGCGGCAAAATAATTTGTGAGCTGAAAGAAGAACTGCTACCTGAATTTTACATGAATTCTACATGAATTCAGACATACCTGGAGAAACCACCAGTTTGGTTCCAGCTCCAAAGGTAAGCTTGTTGTAACTCCCAGAATTACACTGTGACACAGCCCTTTGCAAAATGGTGCCCTGGGATGGGTGTGTGCTGGGTTAAGGCTGGAGAAGATGGCAAGGTTTTGTTGGAAGCAGCTCACAGAATGACAGAATAAATTAGGTTGGAAAAGACCTTGGAGATCATCAAGTCCAACCTATGAGCCAACATCTCCTCATGAGCTAAACCCTGGCACTGAGTGCCCATCCAGGCTTTGTTAAACCCTCCAGGGATGATGACACCACCCTCTGAAACCAGCTTCACCCCTCTGCATTTTGCTGGGCTATGCTGGTTTTCACCATTTCAATTCTCCTCTGCTTGAGGAGCCCAATTACTGTTGAAAAATGCCCACAACAAATCCCCTTCACCTGTAAAACCTCTGCCATGTTCATTCTCAGGAGCAGAGAGGGGAGAATATCCTTGCAGCCATGGAAATCATTTAACACCATCTGAAAATTCATTGTCCTGTTGCTAAAACATTGTGGGGTGGCAAAAAAGGCAAAATAATTTGTGAGCTGAAAGAAGAACTTATTCTACATGAATTCTACATGAATTCTATGTAGATTCAATCTGGATTCAGACATACCTGGAGAAACCACCAGTTTGGTTCCAGCTCCAAAGGTAAACTTGCCATAACTCCCAGAATTACACTGTGACACAGCCCTTTGCAAAATGGTGCCCTGGGATGGGTACGTGCTGGGTTAAGGCTGGAGAACATGGCAAGGTTTTGTTGGAAGCCGCTCACAGAATGACAGAATAAATTAGGTTGGAAAAGACCTTGGAGATCATCAAGTCCAACCTATGACCCAACATCTCCTCATGGAATAACCCTGGCACTGAGTGCCCATCCAGGCTTTGTTAAAGCCTCCAGGGATGGTGACACCACCCTCTGAAACC